TTTTTTTTTATAAAAAAAACATGTTTTCTTTTGATATTTTGCAGGTGGTCTTTTGTTGCTTTGGATAGAGCGGTTTAGTTGGTGTTTTCAGTTATGTTAAGCAAGGGGTGAGTTTCTAGGCTGAATTTTCAATTAATTATTTTAAGTTTTGTGAATAAAGCATAGGAATTAGCTAATGGCATCAATTGACAATTGGTTGGTGTTAATTTGTTGTTGTAATGATAGGTTTAGATGATTACAATATTTGAGATTATAGCACCGCCCATGCGTTTGAGATTATAGAATTGTGTTTTATACAAGTGAAAATTTTGGGAAATAAGCGAATTACAAGGGACTTTGCCGAATTTTCTGTAGAAATCAAACCGTAAAAGAAGTTTGAGTTTTAATTAGAAGGGTAATTTGGTCAAGTGTGCCGGCACCTACCAGGTGTTGGACACTCACATCACGGGGTTTGGTTCAGATTCCAAAGTGGAATTTGGGTCGGAACCTGTCAACAAACATCAAAAGATTTCTTCTAGCCACCCAAAAATGCCATATTTGAACCTTGAGAGCCTAGAGGAAATAGCTCTCCTCCTCTAAAAAATTGTACCAACATATTTTCAGTGGGTTCTTCAATCTTGGTAAGTTTTTCTCCTTTTTTTATATATTCAATTTCCAATTTTAATTGTTATTGTTAGGTTTTTATGATTTAGGGTTTGGGTGAAATTTTTTGGAGATTGTTGATATATGTTTTATTTTAGCAACTTGAATTATTAATTAGCATATATGATTTTTGGTGTCTAGTATTTCTTGTTAAGATATCATGTCACATGATGATAATACACCGGCAAAGAGAGGAAAAACTATTAATTCATTCTTCAAAAAAAGTGGTGACGATAACAAGGATACACCTTTTGCATCTAATGTTGATACTTCAATTCCTGAGGAACTTTCTGAACTCGAATCTCAAGTAGTTGAACCTAAAGAGTTTGATATTCCTTCTTTAGAACAGGATCCTGGGAAATGCATTCCAATTTGTGAACACCCAATCAATCAACGTGATGAGATTCGAATGGCAAGCTCTTTAAATTTTTTTGCATTTTTGTTTCAAGAGAAAAAAGGCTTATAATATATCTCCTCTATAAAAAAATTATTTAGCCTACCCCTATAAAAATTCTTGGATCCGCCATTGCCAATGACCCTTCCAGTGGTGGTGTCAAGATCAATGTCATAGAAGCAAGGACGAGTCGGAAGACCCGGCATTGTACTCATCGTTCCCACTAAAGGATATATAAATCCGGCTCCAATGCTAGCCCTTACATCCCTTATTGGTAAGACAAATCCGGTGGGGGCTCCTTTCTCAGAAGCATTATGTGAGAATGAATACTGGGTTTTTGCCATGCATATTGGCAGACCAGAAAACCCCTGCTTGCTGTACATCTCAATCTGTTTCTCAGCCTACTCACACAAATGAAAAAAAACTCATATCAATAAGCACGTCCAGTATACTTCTATTACAAGAGTTTTTCTTCAGTGGTGCCAAGAATAAAATGAAAGGAGAAATGAGAAAGTATGTCTACCCTCTCTAGAAGAATCAAGTTCTGTTTGCAGCACAATACATAGTTTTTTTTTTTCAATGAGAAAAACAAGACAAATAGTTGCATTCATTGGTAATTTGTCTATCAATGAATCAAAATTAAATTAACTCCAGATATTGAACTTCAAGGATCTCACAATTAGAGAGAGAGAGAGAGAGAGAGAGAGATCAAACCAAATAGTGTGACTTGAATTTTTAACATAACAACAGATGAGCTTACCTGCTCCGAGTATTCAACACCGCTTGCACCATATGACCTGGCTATTGCCTCTATCTTCTCTTTAATACTAAAATCCAAAGGATATAGAAACTTCAATGGTTGTGTAACATTCTCACAGGCTCTTTGGACTGCAATCCCTAGGTCTACCTGAACATCACAATATACTTCATCAACTATGCAGACCATTTATGGTAGTCTAGAGAAATACAAGGAGCAAGTTATACATGCAGTTTCCCGGACCAATGGCAGCTTCCAGCCTTCAACGGATGCAGACATTGGTAGATTTTCTAATTTTCTTGATATTTATTTCTTTGCTATAGTTGAAGGTATTTTTCATTCTAAGATGTGCCTATTGTCAGAGATGTAATGGTTTGAAAGGAGGTGAGAGAAAGCAACAATACAAGCATAGTTGAATACAGTTAAAATCACAATTCAAGAAAAGAAAAAGAAAAAAGACATTGAAGCCTAAGCACATGATGGAATATCTTTGAAGAACTATGATTCATCATACGCTGTCAAGAGTACTATTAGGCTCCAACAGCACGTAAAAGAAAGATGAAGTGAAAGTCTAAACTCAGTTTATCCTGGGAGTAAAACTGGGATTGCAAATTGTAGTGGGGTGTCCACTGCAAGCAAGAAGAAAAAGCTTCTGCATCATGCAATAAGGTAATTCTAGCGCTCACAAAATGCTTAGTGTAGATCTTAAAATTTTTGTACTCTCTCACATAATTTCTCTTTTAGTCAACAAAAACTAATTAGTTAAAGGGATATATGACTAACCGCTCCTTTTCCTCCATGGGCATGGTGAGTACAAATAACTGCATCATATGCCCCAGCAGCCAATGCTGAATTTCTAACTGCATTTAGTTCTGCTTCACTGTCAGTCGAGAACTTGTTCACAGCAACAACAACATTCACACCATAGGCTTTAGTGTTTGAAATATGCTTGGCCAAATTTATACAGCCTGCCTCAACCAAAGCCACGTTCTCAGTTACATAGGCATTGTTAAGAGGCTTCCCAACAACAACATCCGGCCCACCACCATGCATTTTCAATGCCCTTATGGTTGCAACTATAATTGCACACTGTGGTGTTAAACCACTATACCGACATTTTATATTCATGAACTTCTCAGTACCAATATCAGCACCAAAACCAGCTTCTGTGACCACAAACCCACCTGGTCCCACCAGTTTCAATGCAATCTTATCAGCCACAATAGAGGAATTCCCGTGCGCAATGTTTGCAAAAGGACCGGCATGAACAAGAACCGGGGTCCCCTCAAGAGTCTGCATTAACGTAGGGTTAATAGCATCCTTCATTAAAACAGTTAATGCACCTCCTACGCCAAGATCATCAGCAGTTACAGGGTCACCAGCCTTGCTGTTTCCAATCACCATTTTCCCAAGCCTCTCCCTCATATCTGCTAGAGATGTTGTAAGGGCCAAAACTGCCATTATTTCACTGGCAACTGAAATATCAAATGCTGTTTCTCTCACCATCCCTTTCTCATCAGGGCCTTGGCCAATTGTAATCTTCCTCAAGAACCGGTCATTTATGTCCATTACTCTTCGCCATGTGATAGAATCTGGGTCAATATCAAGCCTAGCAAATTTCTTAACTTCTTCTGGGGTAAGATCCTCAGGACTGGTCTTGGAGATGCCAAGCTTCGTTAGACGTCTAAACATGATGTCATTAAAGCTTCGTTTCCCTTCTTTGTTTGGTGGACATAACCGGTTCATTAGAGCCTTATCTGATTGGGTTGCCTCATGGAAAATCCGAGTATCAATGGCAGCAGCCAGAAGATTGTTTGCAGCTGTAATTGCATGAATATCTCCTGTTAGGTGAAGATTAAACTCATCCATTGGGATCACTTGACTGTAACCACCACCGGCTGCACCCCCTTTAATTCCAAAAGTTGGTCCTTGTGATGGTTGACGAAGGCAAGTAACAACCTAATATCATAAAATAAAAGGGGAGAATAGGTGATCAGGACCATACTATCTACTTCTGATATATAACTGCCAATTGTAAAAGTTTTCTATCCAAGAAATTGTCATAACAATATAAAATTCCATTAGCATTGAGAAGGAATACTAAGGAAAGCTGGACAAGTCTCTACCTTCGTCATAAAACACGCTCTATTTCTTCAGATGCAGAGTAAACAGGATTAGTATGCAGAGAAAATTCAAAAACCAGCAGATAAACTTGCGTATGCAACTTGTTATTAATGCTTGACAGTCTAATACTCAATGGCGTTTTTGCTCACCAATTAAACACTCCAAACTCAGCATTAACATTTAAACTCAGTTTCTTGATAAGGAAAACAAAAGCAGCCCCAAGTATAATCAATAACAAACAGCAAGCAAGTAATCAGTTTAAGAATTGCTGATTCCAATTTTTTTGTTCTTCTTTTGATAAGCCAATTCCTAGAAATGAAAATATAGACAGAGCATTAGGTGCATTACAGATTGTTGTATCTTAACAAATCCAAAAGATAAAACAAATTTTCTATCAAAAACCAAAAAGGAAAAAAAATTCACCTTCTTATCCTGAAAAGCACCCAAAGCTTGACAGAGTCCAACAGTAGTGGTAGACTTGCCTTCTCCGAGAGGGGTAGGTGTAATTCCTCCAACCACAACATAATTCCCATCACCAGATCCTTTCAGCTCATCAATCACAGACAACAGAAGCTATAAATACACCCAACAAAACAAGCACAAATTATATGCCCACCCAATGACCAGGTAAGAGAAAACAAATAAAAAAGTAATTACATATCAATGAAGCAAATGAATGAAATGGGCACCTTGGCCTTGTATTTTCCATAAAGATCATAGTGCTTGGGACTGAGATTGAGGTCCTTGGCAATCTCAGAGATGTGGAAAGGCTCGACAGAATTGGCAATGTCTATGTCTGCTGGCACCGGAGACGCCACCTGCAGTTGCCTCACTGTCTTTAACGACGACGAAGAACTCATTTTGGGCTCCGAGAAGAAGATGTCAAATCTTTTGGCTTCGTTTTTTGTGGGTGTGATGATCAATTAATCATGAACCAAAACTAGTTGCTATATTTATGGCATGAGAACTACAATGCGACACTGATAGCTGGATATGTCTGCAAGTAGTATGTCCATATCCAAACTAATAGCTGGATATGAAATATCCTATTCATAATCACGTGCGTACGATCGATCCAAGAAGCATTACATAATTCATAATTCAATTGAATAATTATCCCCAAAGACATATATGTCTATAAAAACAAATACATGAAATATAGTTTACAATATGGTCAGTTAATGTACTATTATAGTATTACTCCAAAGTAATTAGAGCTGAAACCATGATTAATTTAGCTGGTAAGTAAAACTCAAACCTTGATGATTAACTAAAAAAAGAGCTTATGTTTCTTGTTGGTTGGCCGACGTTTTTTTTCTTTTTCTTTTTATTCTTATTTTTAATAAAGAATTGTTATTAGCAAGTTCAGAAAAGTCATCAAACACTATGGTATTGGAGTTGGAGGTACAGAAGAAAACCCCACTCAGCTTTCACATCTCTCAATAAGGAAATTAATAACGTGACACATTAAGCAAGGTGGTTGGGTATAGTAAGTTATTTATGTCCATTTGTAGTCGCATTCCTGAAATCGGTGGATAAATGTGTTTGTACAGAAAAATAAATAAAATAAAGGGCTAATATTATTTTACTCTCTCAAGATTCAGGATCATTCTTGAAATGAGCCACACAATTTTAATTTTGTCAATTTACACCATAATATTTTTAAAATTCAATTAATTTATAAGTTCCGTCAATTTGACCATCTGGTCTTATGTTAAGGGCTCGTTTGGGAGTGCTTTTGGAGCAGCGAAAAGCGCTTCTAAATGGGTGAAAGCGCTTCTGCCTCTTAAAAATGGTGTTTGGCAAAAATTGCAAAAGCGCTTTGGGTGAGATCCAAAAGCACTTGGAGTGGTTTTGGAAGAAGCACTTGAGAGGTGCTTCTTCTTAAAAGCGCTGCAGGACAAAAACACGGGAAGCACTTGGCTCCCTTTAATGAAACTTTTAAAATGCCAAAAATACCCATATTTAATCTTTTTAAATGCCAAAATACCCTCTCTCTTTTTTTTTTCTTCTCTCTTTTTCTCTGCCTTAAAGAGCCATCAGCGCCACCTGCTAATACAAAGTCCGTATCAGTCCCTCCCCTGTCTGTACATCCATGCGAATCCGCTCCAAAGCACCATCACCTAACTGATTTGTTCCCTGATACTTCCGAACCTGCAATTCATAGAACACAAAGACATATATGTCTATAAAAACAAATACATGAAATATAGTTTACAATATGGTCAGAAAAGTCATCAAACACTATGGTATTGGAGTTGGAGGTACAGAAGAAAACCCCACTCAGCTTTCACATCTCTCAATAAGGAAATTAATAACGTGACACATTAAGCAAGGTGGTTGGGTATAGTAAGTTATTTATGTCCATTTGTAGTCGCATTCCTGAAATCGGTGGATAAATGTGTTTGTACAGAAAAATAAATAAAATAAAGGGCTAATATTATTTTACTCTCTCAAGATTCAGGATCATTCTTGAAATGAGCCACACAATTTTAATTTTGTCAATTTACACCATAATATTTTTAAAATTCAATTAATTTATAAGTTCCGTCAATTTGACCATCTGGTCTTATGTTAAGGGCTCGTTTGGGAGTGCTTTTGGAGCAGCGAAAAGAAATGCGGGCAAGAGTTGTAAGAGTTAAAGGAAGAAGATGAGGGAATGTGAAGGAGGGAAAAGGCATGCACTTGATGAACAAGTGGCAACCTCAAACATTGCCATTTAGGCCCAAATGTACATGTGTTGTCATTGAGGGTACAGAAATTGGTAGCTTAGGAAAAGGAAAGGTACACTTGAGTGAGGTAAAGTTAGCAATTTCGGATATTGATCATATTTCATTCACCCAGCTGGATTACAATTAGGAGATCAATTGGGATTGATTATAATTAATTGTGATCTTTAATTACCATCAAATTTTATTTTATTTTAAATTTAGGGCAATTAATGTTTAATTCAATTTCAATTCATGTTCTTTTTTTGTCAGTGGGAATATGTATACTTGAGTGACTAAAAAAATCTTAACATTTCAGTTTGCTTTTTTTTTTAATAGAACAAGGAATTGGGAGAGATTAGCTCCTCAGTTTGCTTTGGATTAACCATTAAAACAACATAGCTTAGGGCAGGATATAGCCCATTAAAATGCAACGAATTATGTAGAAATGTTTGTATCTCACATACTTTGAGAGGAAGTTAATCAATCAAGAATAGGTTACAAAGTTCTTGGTCTAGTAATAGGTACGTTGTATCTAGAGTTAAAAACGTTCCAGTTAAGATAAAATTACGACAAACAGCTTAGAAGTGAGCTAATGAAATGATCACTGCACATCAAATGAATTGCATCAATTTTGGTGGGAAGGTTAATTGGCTCCTGACTAGTTGGCTTTACAATTGGTAATTGACATGGAGAGTGGGTAGATTTATTATAAGACTCTCAATGGAAGAAATTCGGTCAAAGGAAAAAGAGTACCCCAACATCCGAAAACAACCTAAAACAATAACTACTTGTACTTCTGCATTTGTTCAATGAAATTTCCATTTTTCTATCAAAAAAACAGAAATGTGTTACATAATGACCCAAAAAAAAAAGAAAGAGAAATGTGTGTTACATCAATAAAACATATAAACTACTTAATTATCACAAGTCATATACAGTGGAGATAGGGTTACGACAAATGGGACAAGTTAGCTGAGAAGTGAGCCAAGGATCAATGCACATCAAATGAAAGGTGTGCTTGCAAGAAGGCAGAACCCGGCAGCAGTCACCGTCGACAAAGTCCTCCATGCAAATAACACATTGCTGCTGGCAACTTCTTCTTCTGGTTATGAATTCACGGCTTCTGTAATTTGTGGGTGGCGGCAGAAGCATCTCCGAGGCTTTTCTTCGAAATGGGTCAACAATGGCAAGGAACAAGGAAACCACTATCATATAGACAGCTAGGATGCCGATTGGGATTAAACTTGCAAGCCCAACAAAATAACTAGTAGAATTTATAATCTCATTTATTAGAAAAATTCCCAACAAAACTAGTAGAATACCTAGAGAATTAGGGTAAGGAGAAGGAAGAGGATGGGGAGGAAGTGATGATGTTGAATAAGAAGAAGGTAGCAATGTAGCATGGCTCATTGATGTTTGCTTAATGTGAATGTGATCATTGTAACATAAAGTTTAGGGTTTATATATTTTAATTTTCAAATAAGTTTATTCCTGCATCCGAGAGTTTGTGTTTGGATCTCCACTTTTTAAATATTGCTTGTATCGAAAAATTATAACTAATTTATATGAGAATTGCCTCCATTATGCCTTGATCATCTCCCATTTCTTTAGATTTTCAGTCCTTTAAAATTTATTATTATCTTGTCTTATTTTCCTTATTGAAATATTATAATATTTCAAACATTTTCATTCAATTATTATGTTCCCCGATCAATTATTATTTATTCACATATAATATTGTGATGTGAAGTTGGCAATTTGGAAAAGATTTCACACTATTTCATTCAACCAGCTGGATACCTAAAGAACTTTCTTCTTTTCTTTTTATTTATTTATTGGTAATTGTTAATTACCATATTTTGGCTGTCAATAGGAAATTGATTGTGATTGATTGTAATTGACAATCTTAAATTACCATATCTTTATGCAATTTAACAATTAATGATGGGCAAGTGGTTTGTAGCTCAATATTTGTTCTTGCACGTGCAATCAAGATTCTAGATTTGATACTCTCTCAATATTGGTCATACTAAAAAAATAATAATAATAAGTAAGATGGTGTAAATTTAGGAGATGGAAGTATGAAAATAATCGAAGTAAAGGAATAAGTGCAAACAAACCAAACGGGAGTGTGAATATCGCACTCTCTGTAAAATAAGAAAAAATGTTTTTCGCTTTCTTTTCATAGGGAAATAAAAATTCTATTTTCTTCAGTTAAATATAAATTGCCGAAAAGAGATGACTTTATTTTTTTATTATTATTATTATTTTCTGGTTGATCTAGGCCGAACCGAAGGAAGGAGAGGTTACTTTTAAAATTTATAAAAAGAAAAAAAGAAAAACAAGGCCCAAAGGCCCAAGAAGCTAACAAACCAGTTGCCACTTACAAGGCCTACAAGTCGGCCTCTTTCGTTTCCTCCCTCTCTTTCTTCGCCTCTTATACCTTACAGCCGCCGCCTCTCAATCTCTCGTCCCTTCTCATCACTCCCCTTTAAACTCCATTGAAGATTGTTGCCCAAGCTTCCACAAAAATCCCTCAAGGTAAGGTAACTGGTTCTTAAACTCTTTTCGAGTTCAAGCTCTGTGAACAAACTTTGTTTTTTTGTCTTTATTTTTTTTTTTCTGATTATGACTACACAAGTCTTCATCCTATTTGGTTATGGTGCTTTTGAGAGATGGGTTTTGCTTTGAGGCTTTCAATTTGTTTTGCAGCTTGTTTTTAGGTGGGTTTGTTGCTCTGTGTTGTGTTGGGTTTCCTTTACCTCTTCGAAATCATTTTCAGCTTATTGTTATATAGATTGGTCGAGTTAAACTCAAATTATTAGTTCATATTTCTTGTTACTTTACTCAATATTATACCATCACATATTTGCGTGGATCACCATTTTTTACAGTGCCCCGTTTCGCTAAGTCTTTGGTGGACCTTGTTGACGGAGGTTAAGACTGTTTGGGTTATTTCAAAAGGTTGGTATGATCTTCTTTGTTCCCATTTTGTCATTTGGGGCAGGGGGAAGCGTGCTTCAATCTTATGGGGTTGCTTGGTACAGTCTCTATTTTGGAAAATTTGGATGGAGCGCAACAAGAGGATTTTTTTATGAGTATGAGGGAGTGGGTGTTGGTGAATTATGGGATAGAGTTCAATTCTGGCCAACACTATGGGCTTCTTACTCCACTATATTGAGGGATATGTCTTATGTTGCACCGATACGGATATGGGTTTGCAATGCCGATACCGATACCGATACGCGCATACCCCCAATTTTTGGCGTATCGGTGCAACAGAGGATATGGATGCTGCTGTGATGTGAAGTGTTTGTTTTGCGACTTGGTTTCTTTGGGTCTTTCTGGTGTAGCAGTATTTGGGTAGTTTGGCTGGTGTCGCCGTTTTTTTAGTCTGTTTTTATGTTGTTGCTCGTTTGGCTTGTGGATTTCTTATCCACCTGTGTGTTCCTCTTCTTTTTCTTTCAATAAATTTCGTTTCTATTAAAAAAGAAAGTTCATATTCTTTTATGTGATAATCATATACTATGGAAGCAAGTGAAAGCACTTCTTGAATTGTCTGCTCTAGAAATTCTAACCGAAACTTCATTTGCTTTTTTACTGACAGCAACTCCACCAATGAAGAGTAAAAAGGGAAGTAAGAAGCGTGCAGCAGCACTGGATCCAGATCTTCCAACTGTTAAAGACATCGTTGAACTTGGTAAGGGTTCTTATACTCGACACAAAACTAGGAGCACCGTTTGGGATTTTTGAATAATACTGGTTCTATTCCAAACCCCTCCCCATTCAAGAGGGGGGAAAAGGAAAGGATTAAGTAAAGTGCACTACTAGTAGTACTGCGTGTGTACTATCAAAATTCATGTTTTTATGATGAAGTATAACGTGAATCATGATTATTTGATTACATGTTTTCATATCTTATTCAAACTTCCTAATTGCAGATTAGAAGGACAACTGTTCATTCACAATATACAAATCTTGAGCATTTGGTTTGATGATATGTGTACCCTTTATCCATGTAGGTCATGGAGAGGCTGCAGACGGAGTCCTTGTTGACGATGATTTGAATGAACCAACCATGGGAGAAAAACTTGAAAGTTTAAATTTACTAGATAATGATGGACCAAAGAGCCAAGATAAAGAAGACTCTTCTCTCAATGCAAAGCCTCCAAGTGCAGACTCTGTTCATATTTTACTTAAACAAGCACTACATGCCGAAGACCGTGCCCTTCTATTAGATTGCTTATACACCCAAGATGAGAAGGTAATAGCTCCCATAGTTCGTATTAATTATTTAAAACTGATGTTTGAAGATAAGTGTTAATGTGGATGATATAATCTATTGTTTTAGATCATTGCAAAGTCTATCTCACTGTTGAATCCATCTGGTGTTTTGAAGCTCTTACAATCTCTCATTTCTATTATTCAGTCGAGGTAAGCTACCTAGTAGTACACTGTATATGCCGGATGATTTTTTGGTTTACCTAATTGATTCATTTTTATGCTGTATTTTTTACTCCAGAGGTGCAATTTTGGCATGTGCACTTCCATGGTTGAGAAGTCTACTTCTTCAACATGCAAGTGGTATAGTGTCCCAAGAATCTTCTTTAAGTGCCTTGAACTCCTTGTATCAGGTCAGCAACTTTTGATATAGATATATCCCCTCCCAAAGAAAAGTTATTGTTTAAGAAAGAGCCAACTGGACTTTGTTTCGAAATCAAAATTATTTAGTTGAATGTAAAATTAAACCTTAGATAGTGGCATGCTCATGCTCAATGTATATTACTAGTTTATTTTCGTTTTTCTTTCATTTCCTCGTTTTTCTTTTCTTAGAGAAAGTTGCAAGTGAATAATGAAATGCTTTATATCATGTCATAGGAAAGCCTTCTAGTTTTTGTTTTTTCTAATGGAATTTATCATTATATATGCAGCTCATTGAGTCCGGAGTTTCCACTTTTCAGTCATCTCTTCAACTATCAAGTGTCTTAGACTTGCTTTATACAGGGGTAAGGGTGCTTGTGTTAGTGAAATTCATTGCAAGTGAGATACTCTCGAAAACTTAGTTAATGCAAGCTTTTTGAACAGGTACTTGATGATGTGGATGAGACTGGCACCACAATTCCTGTTGTTTATGAGGACAATGATGACAGTGATGAAGAGGAATCTGAGGATGCCATGGACACCGATCAAGACGATGAAGATGAAGAGGAGTCAGATGCGGCACTTGATGGTGTTAGTGATTTTGAAGGAATTGAGGACATAAGTGATTAATGCAAAATTTGAGATTCTTTCTGATTGTATTCAGATGGGGCTGATAATGTTCCTAACTTATTAGTAATTGTACCAACCACATGAGCTTTCAATATGAAAGAAATTTTGTTGCATGCTTGTCTACCCTTCAAGTTGAAAAACCTGGGAAACTTATGATGGAGATGAAGAAATTTATTAGGCATATGGAGAGGAGGGAGAGATAGTGGTGAGTCACGTGTGATCAGTTTTAGTTTATTTTCTCCACCATCACTAAAAGTTTCCGAGGTTTTCTGTTGATAATGTATTAGAAGCGACCATGAGTCCAATATGTTTAAAGAGTATAGCAGCTATACTTCTAAAATATTTGAATGTCACAAATCAGAAATACTTAGATCAAATTCACATGAAAAATCCTAAACCAGCGCGAATGAGCTTCAACAAAACAACTAAACAATAAAAAGTATAATTTTTCCCCCGTTTTGACACAAGCCAACCAAGATTTCAACAAGATGATAACGAAGAGCCAAGCGAACCTGTCCAGGTACTTCATCGTCAGTCTTCTTGGGTGTGAGGAATTAGCAATGGAGGCAATGGAGATATAGGAGTTAGCAAAACGAGGCGAGGAAGCCTAGAGGAAATCAGCAATCAAAACAAGCCCCAATAGGCCAATGCAATCAACACCAAGCGAGCCAATGTGTGCTTCGCAGAGGGCCTAACCATATCTATGAATGAATCGTAGTATTTCTATGAATGAATGAATCGTAGCTGTAAAGTGAAAGAGAGATGAGTGGGTTCACTAATGGAGAGTTGGAGAGCTACGCTTTACGCATTTATCTTTTAGGGAAAGACCGACACCGATTAGAAAGACCGACACCGATTAGAAGATGACACAGAGAAAGACCGACACCGATTTAAATAATATTTAAAGCGTATAGTTGGGCAGCTATACTATTTGAATACTCGAATTTATTTAAAGCATATAGCCGCGCGACTATACTATTTAAATACTCGAATTTATTTAAAGAGTATCGCCGCGCTACTATACTATTTGAATACTAGAATTTATTTAAAGCGTATAGCCAGGCGGCTATACTATTTAAATACGCGTATATTATACGCTTTATAAAAATAAAAAGTGTTTTCTATTTTTTTAAAATAGTTTAGCCGATCGGCTATACTCTGTTTTTTAATGTTTTTTAAAAAATAGTTAGCCGCGCGGCCATACTATTTTTGACACGTGGCCACCTCATGACTTGGAGGAGCTAGGCAAGCCCCTATTTTATATATATAAAAATAGTATTGCCGCCCGGCTATACTGGGTAATTTTTCATAAAAAAATAGTATAGCCAGGCTATTTTTAACACATGGCGCCTGATCGCTAGGAGGCGCTATGCCGGTCCCTTTTTTATTTATATTTTTATAAATAGTATAGCCAGGCGGCTATACGTGATTTTTTTAAATTTTTTTTAAAAATAGTATAGCCACACACGGCTATACACTTTTGACACCTGGGCGCATAAGCACTACTAGGTCCTCTCTTTTAAAATAAAATAAAATAAAATAAAAATAGTCTAGCTGCGCGGCTATACGATTTTTTTGTTTTTTTTTTAAAAAATAGCGCGTCTTTACTGGGCTTTTGTTGTTTACATGCCCTCTTCAAGAACAGCTTCTCCAGAAACCCTGACTTCAAAACCCCCCAAAATTGGACCAAAATGCTCAAACAATGGCCACCTAATGCCAAGACATGTTGTCATATTCAGAAAAGATGGTTTTGTTTAGGTTGCAGAAGGGATTCGAAGAGAGACAAAGTTGGGGTTTGGATTTGGATAGAGAAGAAAACAGAGAGGAAGAGGAAGAACTGGGTTTTGAGGGCAAAGCTGTGGGTTTTGTAGGTTGTTCTTGATCTTCTTCTTCATGAGAAGATGCGTAGTTAGCTAGAGAGAGAGAGAGAGAGAGAGAGAGAGAGAGAGAGAGAGAGAGAGAGAGAGAGCTGAAAGAGAAACCAAAAACCGACCAAAAGTGTTATCTGGGAGATAAGTGGGCAATAAGTATGTATTTATAGGTGATATTTGCAAAAAAATTTGGGGAGAGGTGGTATTTTCAGTTAAAATTATGAAAAGGGTGGCATTTTGAATTATTTCCCTTTTATTTTGGAGTACAGCCGCCCGGCTAAATATTCTGTTTTTGGGGTATAATTATAGCCGTGCGGCTATATGTTTAAAATATAGAGTATAGCCGTGCGGCTATACTCTTGAAATATATTTCCCCATTACACCAACAATAAAAATATGGGCTTATATTTTGAGGTGCCCTTTGTGAAAATCCCACATCGAAAATCCACACTCCAATAAAGTTGTTTTTATAAACAATCTATTTATAGAGTATAGCCGTGCGGCTATACTCTTGAAATATATTTCCCCATTACACCAACAATAAAAATATGGGCTTATATTTTGAGGTGCCCTTTGTGAAAATCCCACATCGAAAATCCACACTCCAATAAAGTTGTTTTTATAAACAAAGCACCTGATATGCATGAGGATATGTATAGTTATTGCATTTGCTATAATATACCTCATTGGTGACTTACATAAGCACCTGATATGCATGATTATCAAATTCAAGCATCATTGTTTTACCTAAGCACTTGGATTTTATTTTGTTGCAAATTTAGAAAACCTGCCTCCATTTTAGTGGAGTTTATTTCGCCTGTGTATGTTCCCAATCAAATGTTATTAAAAAGTGTCAAAATACAGATGATCTGCCCACATTCCAGTTTTCTTTTTCCTTGCAAAAGGAATTGAATCTAAAATCTACAAAAATGACCTCATCTAATACTACTTGAGCTGCATCATCATTTGGTTTGCTAATGTACTTTTTTTATTAGAAGATGGTGTCCTGCATTTCCCTTTGAAGAGGAACTAGGAAATATTGCTAATCTTTTTTTTCCCATTGATGGTTACACAGTTGTTTTTGGGAAAGGAAGAAAGAAGGGATTTCAATGATGTATGAGAGAGAGAGAGAGAGAGAGAGAGAGAGAGAGAGTTATTTTAATGGGATTAATTAGCTGTTATTCTCCTTCAAATACATATCACAATCCTGAATCCTCCAAAACCAAAGCAACTTAAATGGCACCAGAAGGTAAAAACTCTGCATGACTACGTGACTAATTGAAAACAAAGTCAACTTATTTCCTCTGAGAACTATCCTCTCAACTGCATATTACTGCTTTAACCCACCTGCTTTAGGAGCAGCGTCATTTGCACAGTTGCTCTTGATCAATGGAGGAAATGAAGGAAAGAATGGGAACATTTTCAGCAAGCAATTCTGGTCAATTGCTTGGAAGGCCTTGCAACAAGCAGGGCCTACTACAAATTTACCAGTAGAGATTGAAGTATAAATTTCCCATGCACAACCTGGAACATTCTGAAGTGAAGACCAACACTTTGCTATGTCATCCGGGTTCCCTGGCAGCGGCAACCCTGGGATCCCTGGTGGCAATAGGCCTGGGATCCGTGGAAAGAGAGGCAATGCTGGTAGGGGTGGCACATGCGCCAGGCCAGTTGCAGCACATGCTGCCATTAGCAGTAGTGAAAATATTGCTTCAACTTTTCTAGACATGGTTATTGGCAAACCTGGAACTCTTACTTTTGCATTATACCAGAAAACGGTTAGCTAGATTGGCTTTGTTGATGGTTGGAGAGAAGAGGGTAAGGATTTATATAAGAGCAATGAGCCTGAGCTAAGTTGAAGACTTTGATGCTCAGGTAACAGGGTTACGAATGGAATGAGCCTGAGCTAAGTTCATCCCAGCAATGAGCCTGAGCTAGGATGAACTCATAACATTTTCTGTGTTCGGACAAAAATGATGTATGCATACCATACAGGAGTTTCTATACTGGACCTCATTGGTGACTTAATGTCTGATGTGCATGATTTCCAAGTTCAAGCATCATTGATTTCGATTTCCTCAATTTAATAACCATTGATCTGAATTTAGGATTTATGTTGCAAATTTAGAAGAAGAAAAAAAAGTGCCTCTGATTTAGTGGAATTTATTTTCTCATGTAAATGTACCCAGAACACCAATAAAATATTATTGCAAAGTTACAAGCCAATGCCACTTGATCTGAACTCTAAAAAAAGATATCTCATCCCAATATCACTTGAGCTAAAATTTATGGGCAAATTAGAAACCTAAGTATTTTGGTAATGGAAAGCCACAAAAAATCTTGAGTTTCTCTTGGAAGAGGAACTAGGAAATATGCAAAATTTTCCCAGTCATGGCAGCACAGTTGTTCTTATGGCCAGGAAGGAAGAAAATAGTCAATTGGAAATATATTGGACCAGCAACATGCTGACCCTATCTTGACACTGTTTTATGGACTAACACTCTCCACAATCATCTCATCGTGTGAACAACACATAACCGGTAAATATGAAAGGGGAAGCGTATACGATCACCTTACCCCGGGAATTTGAGAGAGAGAGAGAGAGAGAGAGAGAGAGAGAGAGTCTTAATGCAATAAGATTCATCGGATGTTATTCTCTTTAAAATATTCATCACAATTCACAACCTAAGCAAAACTCAAGGTATATGTAAAACTTGCATGACAATGACTAATCGAGAACAAAAATATAACTTTTTCCCTGCAAGAACTATCCTCTCAATTGACCACTACTTCTTTGACCCAAATGCTTTAGAAGCAGCAACATTCCCTGGAGCACAGTCTCCCTGGGGCAATGGAGGGAAGAAAGGAGGAAGCAATTTAGCCAAGCAATTCGCATCAATTGATTGGAAAGCCTTGCAACAAGCAGAGACTTGCATCAATATGATATAATATACCTAATTATTAGGTAAATATAACATAATGTACCTAAATACTATGTAAATATAACATAATGTACCTAAATTCTAGGTAAATATAAGATAATGCACCTAAATACTAGGTAAATATAAAATAATGTACCTAATTACTAGGTAAATATAACATAATGTACCTAACACATAAGTAGCATATACTCTACTATACCAGATAATACTTTCTTGTCTCAAAGCATGAATTTCAATCCAACTTCCCCTGGTAATACTTTCTTGTCTCAAAGCAAATTTTGTCAAGCACAATTGAAATATGTGATATATGTGTAGTATTCACTCCTTTTTTGGTTTATTCATCACTGTGTGTGTTGTGATTGTAGACAAATGCAGTTCCTCAATGATATTATGAACTCAGGAAGCTTCTGCTACAAGTTTCCCTCCTTAATCTACATTCTGTATTTGATTTTAGTCTATATTTGGCCAAAGTTTCTAATCTTCTTCTTTTTACAGCAAGTCGAGGAGGCATTCGCTTTCTGGGGTACTCCAGAAGGTGATCTGGTCCATCCTGCTGAGTGTATGCAGCAGTTACTCGAGAAAGTTAGGCATCATAGAGTCAATGTTTGTACTTTCATGGTAACCACTTTGGTTCTTGAGGTAATTTCTTTTTCCTTTATCTACTGCAGCTGAAGCATGCAAATTCTCTTATGAATTTCTGTAATCTTTGCAATATATAAATTTCTCATATATCCTTTACTCCTTTCTCTCTTTATAAATTTAAATTAATTGTCTCAGAAAAACAAATATGATAGTTTTTTGTATTATAATAGGTTTACCATGAGTAGCCGAAATAGACAATAACTGATCTTATACAAATCTGAGAGGCAACTTGCTCCAATTTATATTATCATTGGTGTGGTCATCAATAACTGATCTTATACAATTGTGTTTTGCAGGGATGGCTGCAGAAACTTGATTCCGGGTACTATCTGCACCACTTTGTTAGAAATAGTTTTGGGAAACTAATATGAACTTTATGGATGAAGAAACTTATGGAGTCTTAAACTGGATGAGAGAATATTTTGGTGTTAGATCTATTTTACCAAGTATGGAGTAAGAAAGCAACAATGCAGAAGGATTTTGGCTTGTAACTTGAAAGTTCCTGAGGGCTAAAACAGATTTCCTCTTTGCCTTAGGAGTGAGGGCTTACAATGCAAAAGGTATAGCCGCGCGGCTATACAATTTAATAAATAAAAAATTAAGAAAAAAACACCATTTTTGTTGCATTAGTTTATACTCTAGAGATATTAAGTTGCTAGTTTCAATATATCCAAAGTATATATTAATCGGCCATTATATAATAATTTAATATATATTATTTTTATTCAATAATATGTGAGAATTATTTGTATAATACGTGAATTTTGTGTGTCTTATTGAAAATTTTGTAAAAAATACATGTATTAAACATGAGAAATACTTACGTAGATTTACAATACGAGTATTGTATGTTTACTTTTTTAAAAAATGTGAATTTTACCAAGTCTTTAAGGCATGTACATAACACGTATGTATTATTGAAAAATACATACATACGTGTATAATGAAGTATTAAACGTGAAAGTGCTAAATTCTTTAAACTGTTAATAACTCTGGAAAAGTAAAAAAAATTAAACGAGGACAATAAATACTCGGGTAATGGCCTAATAGTAATGGATAATGTTATAAACAACTCTTATCGATAAACAAAAAATCAGGGAAAAAAATTTAAAAGAAAAAAAGGATCCCACTATATATATTTTTAAATTTTAATTTTTTTAAATAGAATATCTAACAGTATAGCCGTGCGGGTATACGCTATAAATGCAATACAATAACTACGAGATATAATGGATCTCCTTGAATTCATTCGAATACGAGCCGTCTACTAGCCCCTCTCTCTTGCTAAGACATAACCGCCAACCTCTCTTCTTCAATCCTCATCTCTCTCTCTCTCTCTCTCTCTCTCTCTCTCTCTCTCTCTCTCTCTCTCTCTCTCTCTCTCTCTCTCTCTCTCTCTCTCTCTCTCTCTCTCTCTCTCTCTCTCTCTCTCTCTCTCTCTCTCTCTCTCTCTCTCTCTCTCTCTCTCTCTCTCTCTCTCTCTCTCTCTCTCTCTCTCTCTCTCTCTCTCTCTCTCTCTCTCTCTCTCTCTCTCTCTCTCTCTCTCTCTCTCTCTCTCTCTCTCTCTCTCTCTCTCTCTCTCTCTCTCTCTCTCTCTCTCTCTCTCTCTCTCTCTCTCTCTCTCTCTCTCTCTCTCTCTCTCTCTCTCTCTCTCTCTCTCTCTCTCTCTCTCTCTCTCTCTCTCTCTCTCTCTCTCTCTCTCTCTCTCTCTCTCTCTCTCTCTCTCTCTCTCTCTCTCTCTCTCTCTCTCTCTCTCTCTCTCTCTCTCTCTCTCTCTCTCTCTCTCTCTCTCTCTCTCTCTCTCTCTCTCTCTCTCTCTCTCTCTCGCTCATAGCACCATCCTCATCTCGTCCCTGACCTTGGAGATTCCAAAATGGCTTTTTTTTTTCTAGGCACTAACGCCTGCCTAGACCACCTAGACTGCCTATAAATGGAATGTGTTAAAGAGTATAGGCTATACGATATAAATAGAATATTCTAAACGTATAGCCGGCCGGCTATACTCTATAAATAGAATATGTTAAAAGTATAGCCGATCGGCTATACTATTTTAAACTGTACCACGCTCCCAGCCACCGCCATCTTCTTCGTCATTATCATCGTCGTCGTAAAATTCCGAAGCATTATCGTCTGATCCCAAAACTGGATGAAATTCTGAAGAGTTGTGGGAGAAATTCAGAGCAGGGTTTGTTGTTGTTGTCTTTCTGATAGTAACACTCGCCAAGTCTCCAAATTGGCTGTGGCGTGCTACAAAGCCCTCCTATTTTCCCTACCAATACACCGCGTTTCAACTTTTTCACCATTGATGATCCTAGAGCTCGCCTAGTGACCGCCTAGCAACCGCCTAGACCGCGGGCCAGCCTAGCGACCGCCTAGACCGCCCAGCGCCCGCCTAGTGACCGCCTAGCAACCGCCTAGACTGCCTAGCCTGCCTAGCCCCCGCCTAGCCCCAGCCTAGCCCCAGCCTAGCCCGCCTAGGCCATTTATTCCGTAATATTAACAATATGAGTGAGTGTGTTCAACGATTTAACTTGTAAAGAAGATTTCCGAACAACAACAGATAACCCAGAGAAGTTTCAAGGAGTTATCACAATGGTGGCTCTTGGCCAAGTAAGTCTCATGGAAATGGTGTTATCACAATGTGCTATTTGCATTAGCTCTTTATCTTTTCTGTTCTTTTTGTTCGTGTCTTGTTTTGATTTGTCTCTGTTACGTGCTATGTTTATTCATTTTAGCACCTCTAGCAGTCATTTTCACCATTAAAGTATAAAGGTTTTTGCTTAAATATCGGTGGCTCAAGGCTGGTTTTGTTAGTTCCCGTTGATTTGTAAATCTTTCGGATAATGTCCCCTGTGTCTATTTGCGTGATATTACAATTTGCAGTTCTATTTTTCTACTTGAAGCCTAGTGCTAGTTCTATTTGACTGAGACCTTTCAATTACATTTCATGAACATTAGTACCCACTTTCTGTGAGTAGGATAGTAATTGTTTTTATTTAGTAAACTAGGCTACAAGCACTACTTACATGACATAGTATCTTTTATTTTAAACATCTTCATTTGCTGATTGTAACCACTTTTCCAATCGAAATCTTCAGGTATGTAAATGTTGTGGGATACATTTCTGAATGTAATTTGGGAAAGCGTGCCAAATGGTTGTGCTATTCATGATATTTTGATGCTTGTCCACATAATTCTGACTTATGTGTTTGTTCTAAAACAATTGGTTAATGTTGTTGCATCTGTCTTGTAGCACTGCTGTGGTTGCTTACTGCAGCATGTATCAAGACGGGGAGGCCTCAGACTGCTATATGAGAGCAATTGAACAGGTGGAGCAACGGCTCTCAAAAGACGGGTGGCCAGAATACTATGACGGCAAGGCAGGGAGATATGTCGGGAAGGAAGCGAGGAAGTACCAGACCTGGAGCATCTCAGGATATCTGGTAGCTAAACTGATGATCGAGAACCCAGCCAATCTTTCACTAATCCCTCTTGAAGAGGACAAGAAGATAGCCAAGCCAAGGCTCACCCACTCCGCTTCCTTTTGAGTCAAACCAGTGGCAGCAGCATACATGATGCATTACAGGTATATGAGATTTCTCTTTACGCATGAATGCTGGGGGGAAACTAGCTGATTAAGCTGATTGAGTTGCAGTTTTGTGATTCATTAACATGATTTGCTAGTATGCTACTGAGATATACAGCCCCTGCATTTTCCTTTTCAGTTTCTTAATATCTGGTTTTGAATAGCAAATGGTCTATAGGCATTTTGGAAAGTAATGCAACATGGCCGTTGTTCTGCTTACCAATTATTTGGCTAAGTATTTCAAGCTTTTATGGTGGGAATTTGCCTCCAGAAATGAGATTTTGATTTTGTAAGGATCAGAGAATTGTGCAGCAGAGTTTTGGTCATTCATTTCTTTTTGAATTTGCAATAGCCGTGTTAATTGTATCATGGTTTCTTCTTTCTGTTGGCTATTCATCTATTCATAGTTTTATACCAGTTATCGCACATCATTGGTCATGAATCTTTGCAACCTTTGAGTTGGATTTCTGTGATTACATCAAGTGCTTATTCAGAAAATGGCAATTGTCACAAAGAATCCGACTGGAAAGAAGCTAGATATCATGACCCACGGAGTGAGACTCCGTTTTCAGGCCACTTTTTTGGTGTTACACTCCAAATAACACGGTGCTTCCAGTTTTTGATTGTGTACTGACATTGAGTCAGACAAGTAGAATAATTTTGTTTATTATGTGCCATTCATTGATGACATTTGGAATGTTGAGTGGTATTTTTGCTTTTCGAGTGTTGTATTATTTTGTTTGAGTTTTAGAAAACATGTTATTTGTGTTAGATTTAATGTGTCAATTTCTGTTACAGAATTCTGAATTGTGCATTTTTTTTTCCATGTAAGAGTACTGGGATGGATGCTTGGGCGTTCTTCTCATTCTCTTTTCCACTGCAGATTATAAGCTTAGATGGGTCTGCTTGAAGAAGCTTTGTTATATTCATAATCAGCAGTTCATTTTAGTTGCTTGCAGTTTTTCGGTGCTCTCCTCTTCATCTTTGCTTTTTCTTAGTAATTCATTTATTTAGAGTTGTGTCCAGATTAAGCCTTGATTTCTTCTTCTTTTGTTTTCTCAGGGGATTCTTTTGGCAGAGGAGTTGAAGGGTTAGAAGCATTTAGGTGAAGAAAATGCTTTCTTTGAGTTACTTCTATTTCAACTTTCTGTGAAATTCCTTTTTCTTTTGACTGAAAACGCTCTGACCTTCTAATGCAGATCTTCTAAGAAAGAAACAAATTGGATGATATTTAATCCAAGTTATATGATCTTTATCTGTTGAATAAATTGTTTCAGTATTTGAACCCAAAGATTGAGTCTTTGGGTGACTATGCCTTCCTTTGTTTGTTTAAACTTATTTATCTGTTTTGCAGACCAATAGCTTCAATTTTGGTTTATTAACAAGCATCCATTTGGTATGTAATTTGGCAATAGCACATAAATTCAGCCAGTATTCCTGTTTTCATTAGTTGACATTAGTTTTGTATGGTGACAACAATTTGATAGGAAATTTGTTGAAGTTGATATGAGGAAGTTCACATTACTAGCAAAGGGTAGCTACGTCCTCATCATCACCATCTTCCTCACACCCATCTTGGACGTCTCCTCATGTTTTACTTAGTGATGCAAGGAGTTCAATACATCAAGGAGTTTTGTAATTGTGAACTTTTGTTCTTTATACTATCCTGTTCTATTTTGTTGTGCATAATGGATGAACTCAATATTTTTCAGAGAGGAACAATTAAGAGATAAAGCTGTGAAGCATTTAAGGTATATACATTACTAATATGATTCTTTTTTGAGATTTGGAGAAATAATTAGTATAGCTCTACTTTTTCTTTTCTTTTCTTTTCCTTTTTTGGGTAAAGAATTAGTTTAAGTACAGAGTTGCTGTATGAAATTTGGTAATGTTTTTGTGTGATATATGTTTTCTCTTTGTATAAAAAGCCTTAAAGGCTTCTAATATTTCCATTTTTCCAATTATGGGCCCATATTAGTCCCTTTTCCTACAGTAGGAACATTTGGTTGCAATTTTTTTCTTTCCTGCTCTGTTTTCAGTTTAAGTTTCATGCTTCATGATTGTAATGTTTCTTTTTTTAAGAAAAAGCGATAATTTTCTTTTTTAGTTACACTATTAGAATTCTGAAACTTTAATTATTTACTTCAATTTGGGTAATTGTCATCATAGAATTTCATTGGTTGTATTTTGAAGTTCTCTCATTATTTGGTTGTTGTAGTTCATTCCAGTTACTGTTTTTTTCTTTCCTGCTGTTCTAATTTTTTCCGTTTTTCCTATTGTAGGCGCATAAATTGCAAGGAGTATGGATACATGTAAAAAAACAAATAAAGGAAATTTGTACTGGATAATTTGTCTTTGTGCCAAAATCATGAGTTGCTTAGGTGAAATACAAATCTGTTTTTATTATTTGATTGTGCCTTCTAAGGGGTGGTGCCAAGTTTTGCGTTATTCACTGGGAAAGGAAAATCTCATTAAGAAACCAAGGAAAAAAGAAGTGTTTCGATATCCACATTCTTCTTCATATGAGATAAATAAGCAGTTTACCATCCGACTTTGGGAAATTCCACCTTTGGAAATCTGATGCAGAATCCACAGAGGCTCTTCTATTCTTCATCCTTCTTTCTTTTCTCAATGCCTCATTGTTCTGGGATCTACTACATCTCTCTTCATTGAGCACTGACTGATTTCCCACTCAGCACAGCAAGTGATTCTGTTGCCCTTGCCTCCTCTGCACTTCCCATTCTTTGGTATGTTCCCTCTCTTGGTACAACCTCAATTTCAGCTCTTCAACTTTTCTTTCCAGCCTACTAATCTCTTCTTCCACCATTGCCAGCTCTGAAAATAGCACCTGAACCTGCATATTGTAGAGCCTTTTCTCAAAAATCAATTCCACTTAATTACACATCACACACAAACACAAATGCGCGCTCTGACACACACACAAAACGCGCGCTCACACACACACACACTAACGCGCTCTCTCTCTCTCTCTCACACACACACACACACACTCTCTCTCTCTCTCTCTCTCTCTCTCTCTCTTACCTGAGGTGGAAGCAATGATAAAAGGCATGGATGTGACAGCAGAGCTCCATGAAGAGCACAATGCAGAAACCTGTTTAGTGTTTGTTGTCCATCTATCTCTGATTGTAATTTCATAACCTGCAGAACACATATAAGCATTTGATTTGTGTCAACTTTCTCTGACAAGTTTTCTAATATGTATCACAACATTTAGAACCCCAAGCTGGGAAACAAAAAGAGGGAAAAACTTTGTTGTCACCTCTTCCTCAAGATCAAATCTTTTCTGTTTCTCCTCGCTTCTTTGAATCAGAAAGTCTTCGAATTTCATTATTTGCACATAGAAAGATCACAAACCAACAGTTTGGAAACAAGAATCTGAGGGCAGCAGCAGTGTTGGAAGTTATTGAGGCAAGAAGTGCCTAAAACAAGGAGAGGGTGAGGTGTTGTCGTGGGTGCCATTAAGGGTAGGTAGGGTTGAGATATCAGAAGATAGAGCGGGAGGGAAGCAGAGAGCAGATGAAAATTTTGGAAAATTGAAATGCATGAGAGAATGTGGCGGTGGAAGAATCTTTTGTGAATTTGTGATTGTACAGTTGGTATTATCATTATTGTTATTAGCCTCTCTACACGCGGTTCCGCGCCTACGATGATTTTTTTAAAATTTCTTAAAATTAAAAAAAGATCATGATTAGTTGTGTTCCATAAAAATAGGATTATTTGACTTTTCTTTAATATAAAAAAATGTGAATTTACCATATTATCCTCATTAATTAATAATTTCAATTCTTAATGTTTGCATTAAACAAGGGCATTTTCTGGTATTTTAAATGTTTTACAATTCTCTGCTTTTTACTTTATATATATTCTCCCAGAATATGGAAGAAGAATGGAAGAAAACAACAACGTAAAAACTAAAAACGTAACCAACAACCCATTAGTATATTGGGTGGTTAGAAAATGAAGAAAATAGGTCCGACTTGTAAGGGTATGTAGGGTTGAGATATCGGAAGATAGAGCGGGAGGGAAGCAGAGAGCAGATGAAAATTTTGGAAAATTGAAATGCATGAGAGAATGTGGCGGTGGAAGAATCTTTTGTGAATTTGTGATTGTACAGTTGGTATTATCATTATTGTTATTAGCCTCTCTACACGCGGTTCCGCGCCTACGATGATTTTTTTAAAATTTCTTAAAATTAAAAAAAGATCATGATTAGTTGTGTTCCATAAAAATAGGATTATTTGACTTTTCTTTAATATAAAAAAATGTGAATTTACCATATTATCCTCATTAATTAATAATTTCAATTCTTAATGTTTGCATTAAACAAGGGCATTTTCTGGTATTTTAAATGTTTTACAATTCTCTGCCTTTTGCTTTATATATATAGAAGATAAAAAGATATAACGGGTGGCGCAAGTGGTCTTGATCGTTGCATATCTTCCTCCTATGTGCATATTATGTAAATATTTATGTACATAATCTAAAGCTATGATGTTGTGTAGAATGAAAATATTATTTTACTCAAATTATTTGAGATTTTCCTATTAACGCTAGATTTGCTTTGGATAATATTAACGTGTGGGTAATTAATTGAATACTAGCCTCCCTACGTGTGAGAGGGTTTTTTATAATCACGAGCGCTACGCGCGACTTACAAAGTTTCGTAAATATATTTTCGCAATTGTATTTATAGATCTTCATTTCAACAATTTCATATTTTAATCGCCCATGTGATAAATCATCATCTTAAAAGTTTTCCTTTATCGCCCGTAGTTTTCTAGATGTCCATCTAAACAATTCACACGCTATTAAAAAATAAAATAAAACTGCTAAGATGGACATCTAGAAAAATACGGGCGATAAAGGAAAACTTTTAAGAAGATGATTTATCACACGCGCGACTAAAATATGATATTGTTGAAACGAACATCTATAAATACAATTGCGAAAATATATTTACGAAACTTTGTAAGTCGCGAGTAGAGCGCGTGATTTAAAAAAAGCCTCTCGCACGCGCATGTAGGGAGGCTAGTTAATAATTAAAGTAATTCAAAAAGGATAAGATGTTACTTAATTACATATATTAAATTAAAGAGGTTAGCCAAAAAAAAAAAGAGTAAAGAAACTAATTTTATATTTCAAAAATTAAAAATTAAAATAAAATAAACATAACACCTTTTTCGACGAAATTTCGTCGGCACAGATCTATGCAGGCAAAAATTTGTCGGATTAGGTTTTTCGCAACGAAAGAGCTTCTGCTGACGAAATTTCGTAGAGAGAAGTCTATTGACTTGTGCCGATGAAATTTCGTCGGGAGAGGTCCTTTTAAAAAAATTAAATATAAACTTAGGATATTTGGGTTAATTAATTTTTTTTAAATTTTATTGTTAGTAATTAAATAATATATTTGCTTTATTTAATTAGTTAAGTTAGTAATTATATTTTAATTATTATTTATTTAGTGAATAATTAGTACTAAATTTTTTTAATTAACTTCATGAATTATGTTACTTAATAAATAGTAATTCAATCTTTCTTTTTTCTTTTTTCTTTTTTCCTTTAATATTCACTAAGAAAAACCTAACTACTAATCAAAGTGATTAAAAAAGAGAGATACATATTAAATGGTATAGCCGCGCGGCTATACTTTGAAGATGTTCTATTTATGCAGTATAGCCGCGCGAAAAATATCATGGGTTATGGGGTGGGATTTGAGATAGGGTTTGATATTTATACCTCCCACTAAAAAATCTCATACAATTCCACATTTAAAAAAATCCTTTGAAATTAGCAAGATTTTGAATACCAATAGATTTGGTCACTATCTTTTAAGAATCCCAATAGTCTATACCACTAGACTTTTTTATATCATTTAAGTCTTAATTGAATAGCACAAGAGTTATTTATCCCAAAACAATCTTTTAAAATCTCAATTGAAAACAAAAAAGTAGCATATATAAATACTTGTTGAAATGTGGCTAAACTAATGTGTGAATGCTGCAAAAGACTTGTAGCTCAAGTGGTTCACAATAGTTATCCATGCACCCGTAGTTCTGAGTTCGAATGCCCCTTATTCAATATATAACTTGTATAAAAAGAAATGTAGCTGAACAAACATGTCAATGCACGCATTGTGAAAGAGTTACCTGAGTTTGGCCCTTGGTTTCACCAGCCCTGTAGCTCTGCCTATGAGATGCCATTTCTCTTTCAACACAGTTATTGATATGCCGGGACTTCTGAATGTTTTTGAGTTGTAAACTGTAAAAGGTTACTCTTCAAGTTTGCGATGCTGGGAAAGAATAGTAGTGCATGCTATAAATACGACTTGAAGTGGGCTAGGTGATTGACATGTGTCCTGCATGTGGACACATAGATGACACGTGCCTTGCTCTAATAAGACATCGATGACTAGTATGACTTAGCCTACACCGCGTTGCCACGTGTTGGTTTCCCTTCAGACATACGATTGTTTACTGTAGTACACTGAAATTGATGCTTGCACTCTATCTCCATCTATCATGCTAGTATTGTATGATTGTATCCTTGTAATTGCTTGAATAATGTAGTGTCACTCTTGTTTTTTTATCCCTTTTTTTTCTTATACAAGTTATATCGGGATGGAGATTTTGAAGATTGAATCTCGGATGCATCGGTGAATGTTCTTAACAAATGAAGCTACAAATCGCTTACGTTTTTGACACCTTTAACCTTTCATGTATGATGTAAAGTAAATTTCTTTTGTTGTAACCAAACCAAGCTGCATAACTCCTTTGCGTGGAAATGTGCTTTTCACATAAAAGGTATAACAAACTTTCATGTGCTCTCTTGCAGCCCATTAGCGCAATGCTAAGGTTGGTATCTTCTAATCACTTGCAAAAATCTAAACATTCACCATGATTATAAATTAATTAACCTTCTTTTACACACATTAAACATTGGATTATTTGTAATCTTTCGCTTTTCAATTTAGTGTCTTTCTTGAATTGTTTGTATTCATATCTCTTGCACGGAATTAATGTATTTCTTTCGGTATAGGCCACAAGAGTCTCGTTGGATTTTTCCCACCATAGATTCTTTCCAAAGCAAACACATAAATATTCTTTCTCTCTCTTTCTTCCTTTCTTTCTTTCTTTCTCTTATCTAAAACTAAAAGTATGTACAGACGTTAAAGATCATGTAGAGTCAGGGCCAGGTCAGCCAAGCACAGTTCAACATTTTGAATTTTGGGGGATCATATTCTTCTCATGGTTGTGATGACAACTATTCTAAACTTTTGGTGATCAACACCTTACCATTGATAAAAAGTAGCTAAGCCACCAACTGCATCATTTGCATTAACTTCCAAAACCTAGTGGAAATAATTATGATTAAAACAGAAAGAAACTCTTCATCCCAAAAAAGCAGAACCCTTAATTTGAAGTCCTGTGCAGTCAAGTCTATGCCACAGACTAATTAATTATAATTACATATATAATTAAGCATGTGTGTGGTCAAAGTATTAACCACTAGGCTGCTCTTCCTTTTCTCCTCCTATATATATAACAAGGGTTTCCCCAACTCTAGCTCAGGCAAATACACAACTCTTGCTGCAACCACTTCTCTTAGAAAAAGGAAATTAACAACAACAACAACAACAAAATGGTGGTGGAGACTTCCTTGGTGTTGGTGGATAACACATTGATGAAGGTGGCTATGTTTGTTGTAGTTCAAGCTTTGGTTTATCTCATCCTTTCGAGTTCATCCAATCTCTTCTCCAAGAACAAGTTGAGGTCATTCAACAGCTTTAGGCCGGTTCGTTCTGCTAGCATTAACCGTCTTCTGGCTGCCATCTCTGACTTACCAACTGGTGCTGCTGATGATCCGGCATCACCATCCTGCAGCCCTAATCCTGCTAAATATAGATGATTCATGTCCTATATATAATTCTCTTGTATACTAATGATGATGATATACACTTCATTCTTTACGTATAAGCTGTAATATTTGGCACATGTAACTCTGTAAAATATGTCTTCTTTTGGTGTTTAATAAAGTATTGTTATATGTTAAGCAGTGCATACTTCAATTGGGAGAGCAGTCATCAATTTGTAGAATTCTCTTGATATTTTAGAATTGCATAGCACTCTCCTATAACATATCAACACTATGAGTCTATATGACATGTACATAGGTTTTCATGGAAATTCATCAGTACAGAAAATTAACTAAGGTTTCCAAAGGGAAGTGGAGAAATTTGAATGATAAGAGACCCTGCAAAGAATAAATTGATGAATGCTTGAAAAGGAGGACAAAAATGAATTGTAATTTCAAAGTCAAATCTTGATTGGGATATTTTCTTAACCTTCTTTTTTTTAAAAATAAAGTAATTAAAGTAGTTCTTCATCCCATTTTATGTTTTAGAAAATACAAACAATGCACTTCAATAGAATTGTTGTAAAAAAAAATAAAGTAATTAAAGTAGTTCTTCATCCCATTTTATGTTTTAGAAAATACAAACAATGCACTTCAATAGAATTGTTGTAACATCACAGGACATATATGACACCAGATCCAGATCAGAGACAATGATTGAAAGCTCAGCAATACAAGCCAAAAGTCCATCACAGGACATATATGACACCAGATCCAGATTAAAAAGAACATCTCAGGACTCATTCTTTTTTCCAAAATCATGCAGAAGATATTGACTGCAGGAGAGGCAATGAGATAATGTACGAAAGCCTCAGAAATAACCCCCAAAAGGGTCATGATCTCTGAAGTAATATTTATTTCTATAAATTAATTAGAGATGGTTCTGACTTTGATGGGAAACAAACAGAAAACTCCTGGGAAAATTTACAGGATCATATATGGCTTATTTTTTTGGAAATTTTAACTATATATAGAGGGGAGAATTGATGCATGAAGTGCAGCCACCACATTGACTTGTAGGCTCTTCTTGCTGAAGGCTGAATATTATTCTTATTTGACTACGCGCAAGGTGACTCTGACTGAGAAGCCTGCCTTTGGCATATCATATCAGTCAAAATTAGAACATCAACCAGTCTACACAGACTCCAATTAAAACTCTTCGTCCCCTCTAATCAAAATTAGATTCTGTTTTCATTGTTCCATTAATAATGTTAAGATTCAAGGCTTCTAGTAATTAGTTTCTGAATATTTTGGATGTTTGGGAGGAAGGAAGAAATCACAGAGAGAGAATGAAGAAGAGAACGTTGCTCTGAATAGAAAAATGGAATTGACTGTTCATTTCTGCTCCACTAGCCAATATAGCTGTTAGGAGAGAGAGAGAAGTGAGATGCTTCTCTAACGAATTTACATAAAGATTGAATCCTAGCCATTGCTCCTAGCATCCTATGAGATGCTTACATTTATCACAAGCTATCACTTAAATCCTAGGCTAGAAAGAGAGTCCACTTGGACTATTATTCAATGGCTCACATTACAAACAGAAATTCAAACATATAAAATGAAATTCAAACTTTGTGACTTTGGCTCCAAGGTTTTCAGCTCAGGGGTTACGCATCAACAAATACACCGAGTTCATCACAGGAACATATTGGTAAGGTCTCATTTTTTTTAAAGGGTGTTAATTTTGCTTGATTTTCAGTCTGAATCTTGTGTTACAAGTTTAAGTGAGTTATCTTGTATCTCTAAGCTTTCTTGTTTAAACCTCATCCCAGAAAAATAAAAAGGTTTTATTATGAAGCAACCCAAAAAAAAAAAAGACTTTCAAAGGAAGGAATGACATGTTGAATTCAAAGAGCAATGGTATCTATCTGTCCATAATTTTTCTCTCTTCAAGGAAAGAGAGGCAAGATTAAAACGTTTTTGTCATTGATAGACAAATATTTTGCCGTTGAAACCAGAAGTCCAACTCCAACCTCTCTCTCTCTCTCTCAATTATTAAGTTAAATATCTTCTAATGACAGGTCATTAAACATTGATTTCTCTTCAAGAATTTATGTTCTATATACTTATAATTTGTAAATAATTTATCCACAAAAGGCGACAATGATATCTAGCAATCTAGGCTTCCAATCAAAACTGCCATGTGGTCCTCTAAGAGTGGGTTAGGAGCCCCCAGTGTGAGACATACTATATTATTATAATAATATATCTTCCTATCTGCACAAAGAAACAGGTATATAAAGTTGTTCAATTACCTTCACTTGTTCAAATGTTGTTGTCTGTCGTTTGCCGGTGCTAATAACATTGTTCAATTACCTTTCCCCAAAGATACAGATTACCTTATAATAAGGAGGAATTTCTTCATAATTGATTATGTTAATGATAAAGATGGCACTTTAGTTATTAACATGGAGTAGTTAGTGGTATAGCTATCAAATTAACACATTAAATTATTTCACTTAATCATATTTTAGTTAGGATCAGTACATTGTGTGAGACTCTTATAAAAACGAGTGTAGAATTAATTCATCTAAATGAACTTGTAACGCCGGACACAAGAATCTAACAGCTAACAAGTGAAATTTGCTGATAAATCTCTACTTTGGTTGCCTTAAGTTGAAGAGACATAACGAAAACATGAAGCCAAAATCTTCCTTGGATTCGTGCATTCATGACCACATGGCCTTTTCAGGCGACCCATAAATAATCACATAAACTCAAACTCGCACGAACTGACTGTCTCTTTCAGAGGAGCCATCGCCTTTGCAACGTTTGGATCCAGTGACGTGGTCACTTTGACTTTCCAGAACCAGAAACAATAGCCAACGAGCAATGCAACTGCAGCCAAAGTAGCATGGACTTGACTTCACCTGACCACCTCTCCCACCCCCACTCTGTTTGAGGTCACTTTTTCAACTTTAAACGGTCCGATGGCCAGGAGGCTGGTTTTGGTTTGAAATATTCAAAACGTTGCGTGCGGGAAATGTCAGCTTGCCAATACCAATGGGGCAAATGGGGCAAATGGCAAAGAAAGGAGGAGGAGCTAAAAGACACAGACCCATTAATTGCAATGAAAAAGTATAAAATATTGTCCTAAGTGGGCTTAGGTGTTAAGAGGCAACAGAGACACACGCTCACAAATGCAAGCAAGCCAATATCCAAAAATCCATCATCTTTGAGACTTTGACTCTTGGAAGTTGGAAACTTTCTCATGCCCAAATCAATCTAAGACACGCATATAATCCGGGCCAGCTTTCACGGATTCTTCTCTTGTATTTATCTTTCTTTTCCTTCTTTTTTTTCTTTTTTTTTTTGGAGGAAAAAAATTTGGTTCAATTATTGGAAGCTGGGGTTGATTAAAGTTGAATATTCAAGCACTTGGGCTCAGAATCTCATCTGGGAATTGGACAGTTCTCTTTTTTGTGCCGTTGGTTTTGGCTCAAAATCTCATTTGGGGAATTTACAGTTCTTGGTAAGATTTTCTATTCCTTCTCTGTTAATTTGTTTGTGTGTAGTTTATATTGGGTAGTTTGATTCAGAGTGCAATTTTGGTAGGATGCTTGAATTGGGTTTTGCTTTCTTTTACTGGTCTGCAATTATGCTTGTTTCGAGTATGCAGTTAATTTGTACTATTCAGCTTCCAGTTTCTGAAATTGCTTTGAAATGTGAAATGTGTGCTGGAGAATGTCATGAAAAGTGAAAGCATCTCTTCTAGATTGTCTTTGCTTCTGAGTTTTCCACTTTTGTTACATCTTACTTGGAAATATTCATCGCCAGCTTGTCTTCTTTCCCCCCTTTTTTATTCCTCTCTTTTTGCAGGGATCTTCACTGTGCATTGTAGTTGTTAAAGATTCCCATAGCACGGCAACTCATTGTTTTTGTCATTTTTCTTATTTGGAATTTTTTGGGTATAATCATTTGGAAGTTGTTTAATCTGAATATGCTAACTTCTGATAAATCAAGTGAAGGACAAGATTGTTTCATGCTTTTGTAAGCTTCACAGTGAGAAAAGAAGGCAACTACTTTTACTTTTATACAAATTTTCATAATTTCCGAGAGGCCCGAGAGAATTGTTCTTCCAGTTTTCTTCACACACGCAAATTAGTCTTTTTTGTCTTCTTTTGAGACTCATTACACAAGTGAAACTACTTTTTCTTCGATCACTTATGTTAACAGTTCTGATAGATTTTGTTGTGAACAGGAAATACCATTGTAGGCAATAAAATTGTTGCTCATAGCTTCCATTCGACAAAGATCTTGTTAACCATGCTAACTGTGGAACCACCTGCATTTTCTATCACCCTCTCCTAGAGAAGTTAAGAGACTCAGTGAAGGTTTAGGGGCGGAGTTGTAAGAAATCAAGAGGTGTTCAACTAAACAAGAAAATAGTCACTAAGCACAGTATCTCCTTGTTTCATTTGCCACTTTATGTGGTGTTTTTAGATGGAATTTTGGGCCCTAAAATCCCATTTTAAAGTATGTCTGACAAATCCATTCCGAATTTTTCCCAAGATCATACCCTAGCCCTTTCTCACCTGAAATCCCACCTCAAACTCTCTCATCCAAATGCACAAGAGATAAAGTTTTTCACTTGTCTAAAGTTGACTTCAATGCAATTAGATGGCTTTCTTGAAAATGTAGATTGGCATCTTTATTTTCTGCCTTTTTCTGATAAATACCTTGCTTTCCATAAAATCAACTACATATATTTGGTTAAAAGATAAGTTCTGCATACCACTAAACTTCTAATGGTGGGTGACAGGGTAATTAAATTGACACTTGAGAAAAGTTACACAATTGGGGAATAGACTATGATATTGATCCCAATTTGAGAGTACCGACATTGACATTTGAGGAAGAAACATGTCTCTTGGAGGTCGCTTCTGTGAGGATGTGGCTGAGTCTCGTATGGCGTTTGCAGATTCTGATGTTGCAACTTCCACTGGTGATGTAAGGACTTCCCCTTTCAGAAAAGCTGCCCCTGGTTTGCTTGGAATTCCTGGAATGCCATCAAACCACAATGTGCATGACCTACTCGAGTGTCCTGTTTGCATGAATTTAATGTGTCCTCCAATTCACCAGGTATGTTTTAGTATTTGTTCAAAATTTAATGGTCATGGAGGATCTCATTCTCCTTTTTATTAATATTAAATTATCAAAACTTCAAAATAAAAAAAATCATAGAACCAAAAAAAAAATTCCTGCAATTGATGCTAATTGGCTTTGCAGTATCTGGTAGTTGTACAAAATTACATTATCTAATATAAAGTTACTCAAAATTTGAAACTCATTTATATTGCATAAAATATATACAACTCAGAAAATATTCACAAATTTGAATATCTCAAAAACATGTACTCCAGAAATGGATTTCTTTAGAACTGTCTACTCATCGAATGTGAAGCATTAATTGAGAAATACCGTCACACATCATCTAACATGATGATTAAAATGTACACCATCCTATCTTATATATAATTATATACTCCCAAGTATGTTAGCTCTATCTCGTAAACTCCTAACAAAATCCATGCCTCTGCCTGCTACCAGGAGGGCCTCAATTGCATTTTCCCATTATATGCATTAGCATTATTTGATCTTCAGATTTTATTACATGCACATAGGTCCTAATATACATGTCCTAGGATATGGTTTTATCAAAGTGAGAACTTATTGAAGCTTATATTGTAGTGTCCAAATGGCCATACTCTCTGCTCGAGCTGTAAGGCTAGAGTGCACAACTGTTGCCCGACGTGTCGCAATGAACTTGGAAATATAAGGTGCTTGGCACTGGAGAAAGTAGCAGAGTCGCTGGATCTTCCTTGTAGATACCAAATTTATGGTTGCCAAGATATATTCCCATACTACAGCAAGCTAAAGCATGAGAAAATCTGTAAATATCGTCCATACAACTGCCCTTATGCTGGAGCTGATTGTTCTGTCACAGGAGATATCCAACTCCTTATGATGCATCTTAAAAATGATCACAAGGTTGACATGCATGACGGATGTACTTTCAACCATAGATATGTTAAATCCAATCCCCAAGAAGTTGACAATGCTACATGGATGTTGACCGTAAGTTTTTCGCACTCACTCTTTTTTTTTATATATAACACGCACAAATTGCATTTCTATAAACAATCTTGTCAGAAATTTTGCATCTTTTAAGTACCAAGTAAAAACTTAATACAATATTTTTTGTGTTACCAGTAAAAGTACCTTTATTGATTTCAGGATGACATTTTTTTTCAAATTTCCACTGTTTAGTGTGAAGGCCACTCTTTTGTGGGAAATCCATGAGTCCAATCACTGTCTGCATCAATAAAACCCTACTGAGATAGCTTAATTTGTAATTCTCCTCTTTCTTAATCCTGAATGGAAACATTGCTGACATTCGTGTTTAATCTTTGGCTATGATTTCTTTAATTGCTGAGAAGAAAGTAGAAAAAGGGGTACAAACTTTGCAGTCTTATAAATATCCTTTTGGAATGCTTGTCTGAGCTATACTCAGACTTGTTTCCCTTCCCCCATGAGCAGCAAACTGTACATCCTACTTGTTTCCTTTTCCTGAGTGATTGGTTATGCATTCTATATTTTCAATGGGAGGTGTTATCCACTAAGACGATGGTATTTCAATTCAGTCTATATGAATGTCAGGCTGTTATTTTGTAAAAGTATGTTCCTTGAAGTTTTTAAGACATTTTTCACTTTTAAGAAAAATTCAAATGTGTTTTTCGCGGTTGCTTAGCTTCTCTTATTTGATTCAGTTCAACCTCTACCAATGTATTCATACCCATTTGTGATATTTGAATGTAGTGCAGATTTTTAACTGTTTTGGGCGTCAGTTTTGCTTGCATTTTGAGGCTTTCCACATTGGAACTGCACCTGTTTACATGGCCTTCCTTCGGTTCATGGGTGATGATGATGAGGCAAAGCAATTCACTTATAGTCTTGAAGTTAGTGGCAGTGGCAGAAAGCTTATATGGCAAGGAATTCCTAGGAGTATCCGAGATAGCCACAGAAAAGTTCGTGACAGTCAAGATGGACTAATCATTCAGAGGAACTTAGCACTCTTCTTCTCCGGTGGTAATAGGCAGGAACTGAAGCTGAAAGTCGCTGGTCGTATATGGAAAGAACACTGAGATATAAAACTAGAAACTTGTTCAAAGATATTTGTAACCTTTTGCTGTGAAAAATAAAAGGTTGGAAGGAAGTCAGGGCTTAACTATGTAAGAAGGCTGGATTTATGTTGCTTGATAAAATTAAGATGCTTTGGTTGATTAGTTTATCTTGGACAGTGTTTTGACTATGGATCTTCTGTAAGTAACAAAAAAGGCAGGGACTACATGCATGTAAGTTTTAACTGAGTCATGGTCCAAGGTATATTTCCACACACTATTCAATCTTGATAACTTTTGGAAAGAAGCTTACTTGAGTCATGGTCTAAAGTATATTTCCATATCACTAGTCCCATGGGTCATTACAAAATAATCTTGTTTTGATATGTCACACTTTGATGAACGTTTATCAACCGTTCATATATAAAAAGATAATTCGATAAACGTTGATGCATATATGAGACAATTTGATGACCTAGAGAATGCCCTTGGCAAACCAAAAGCCCCAATAAAAATTTAAAAACGTATTGTCCTCTACCGAGGAAAGAAATAAAAAAGTCATAGCCAGGAAAACCTCACGTTGGAATTGGATTAATAAGATTGGTTTTCTACTCTTGATTTCCAAACGGTCGGGCTTACTCTTAATAGACCAAAGCCTAAAATCCAACCACCGGTACCAAAATACGGGGTATACCTCCTCTGCTAAAACCCTAAACCCTCAACCATCTCTCTGCCATTGAATCCCAAAAACGAAGAAATGCTATTGTTAGCTCGAAACCACTCCCTCTCAAAGCTAAAACCCCTCCTTTCTCTCTCTCTGATTTCCCATTCTTTCACAACCCAAACCCCATATTCTCATTTCACTTCAATCCCAAAACCCCATTTCCAAAACCCCACAAATTCTCAACCTTTACCATTCTCAACCATCTTCTTCAAACCCTTCTCGTCATCTAAATCGTTGCCCTTGAACCGTGAAGGAAATTACGATGAAGCCACCACCCAAGCTCACCTCGTCTGCCCTGGTTGTGGCGTTCACTTGCAGGACTCTGACCCTAAAACCCCTGGCTTCTTCCTCAAACCCTCAAAAAAGGATCCAAGGACTTATCGATTGGGTGCCCATCTCGAGCATGTTGCGCACGAGCCAGAATTCAACGATTCCCTCAAAAGGGGTCTCATAATCGACCCCGAAAACCTGAGCCCTGAATCCAATTTGGTCGAACTCAAGCCGGAGAAACCGGTGGTCTGTGCACGGTGCCACTCTCTGAGGCATTACGGTAAAGTGAAGGATCCAACGGTGGAGAACTTGCTTCCCGATTTTGATTTTGATCATACGGTTGGGAGGAAGTTGGCATTAGCCTCTGGGACCCGATCAGTGGTGCTAATGGTGGTGGACGCTGCAGACTTTGATGGGTCGTTTCCCAAAAAGGTTGCCAAGTTGGTTTCGGATACAATCGAGGAGCATTCAGCAGCTTGGAAACAGGGTAAGTCAGGGAATGTGCCAAGAGTGGTGCTTGTGGTAACAAAGATTGATCTTTTGCCAAGTTCATTGTCACCAACAAGGTTAGAGCATTGGGTTAGGACAAGAGCAAGGGAGGGCGGAGCCAATAAGTTAACAAGTGTGCATTTGGTGAGTGCTGTTAGGGATTGGGGGTTGAAAAATCTTGTTGATGATGTTGTTAGCTTGGCAGGACCAAGAGGGAATGTGTGGGCAATAGGCGCACAGAATGCAGGGAAGAGTACGTTGATAAATGCAATTGGGAAGCATGTTGGAGGGAAGATTACGCATCTGACAGAAGCGCCTGTGCCCGGAACAACATTGGGAATTGTTAGAGTGGAAGGTGTACTTCCTGGTCATACCAAGTTATTTGATACGCCCGGGCTTTTGAATCCTCATCAGATTACAACCAGATTGACAAGAGAAGAACAGAGTCTTGTAAACATTAGCAAGGAATTGAAACCAAGAACATACAGGATCAAGGTAAGCATACTTGATCATAACTACCCCTTACGGGGCTGTATTGCTGATTTTACTATTTTTATCCGTACTGAGTGATTTGTTGATTTTCTTTAATAGATTGCTTGATCAACACCTACAAAGGTGAAGTGGGAAAGTCTTGTTGATTTTTTGTATAACTGAACAAATGGTCTAAAATTGTGGACAATTTCAGTGCAGTTATTTCTTGTGTATTTGGTTTTTTAAGTTTTTGAACTTTGAATTGGGTTGTGTTGTATGTCTCTTTGTTAATTTATAGAAATCTGTTACTCCTAATGTGAATAAGGTAATGAAACGCGAATCATATTTTACAGATAGAATTAGAAAGCACTACTTTTGGTAGTATTATAGTTAATAAGCACCCATTTCTTCAATTGTCTAAGTGTGATCTTGGTTTTAACACTATTCAATCCCAAGTTTAGTTTGTACTTTGTACACATGAATCATCTCAAGTTCACAACATTTGGAACCATTTGAACAATATGATGCAAGTTCCAATGTCGTTTTGCATGGAAAATCCAGTGATCAAAGAATGAAGGGCTTTTCTGTTGATGTTCTGGAGCATATTTACTGAGTTTGTATCTCACTAGAAAGCTGATTACTTGATTGAATTGGAAGTTCATTTAATTTTGAATAACGTATATTCTTTTGCTTCTCATAAAAAATAAAGTAGTTGTCTTGTGTTAATTTTTGGAATCGGTTCATGGATCTCTTTGTTGCTAATTTACGTTCCATGTAAATTATAAATATTCGTTTCATTTTTCATAGCCCATTTATTGTCCTTTGGTTCAGGATGGTTATTCAGTTCATATCGCTGGGCTTATGAGGCTGGATATAGAAGAATCATCAGTAGATACTGTTTATGTTACAGCATGGGCATCTCCTTATCTTCCATTACACATGGGAAAAACAGAAAATGCATGCACAATGGTAGAGGAACATTTTGGTCTTCAATTACAGGTATTAGCACTAGTTGAGGAGTGATGGTTCTCCAAATCCTTGGTTTTCTAGTCTAATAATCATTAGTCTTATTCATTTTTAACATGTTACCATTGGAGATTTTTTCAACTCACAAATACCGATAAGCTCTCTATATATAACACCTGTGGCTTCTCAAGGTCCGACTCTCTATTAGTATAATACCAGGTTGTTTAGTGATCTTTTTTGTTTTGAACTTTTCTGAATTCCCTATTACTTTTTTCATTTTTTTTTCTTCTGATGAAAAGTTTACTCAAGATTAAGAGATATGTATAGGCATCTGCCTTGTTAACTCCAATGTGTCGAGCATTCCTAACTGCTTAAAATACTGGGCCTAGTTATGATGCGTCCATCCTGTAGGTATGAGACTAAAATCAAAGATATGCTTATCATTTAAAGTTTAGGAAAATGCATGATATTGCTGTATGCATATGTAATTCTGATCCCAAAATGAACTGTTTCAGCCACCAATTGGAGAGACTAGAGTCAAGGAGCTTGGGAAGTGGGTGAGAAAGGAATTTCACATCAGTGGAAACAGTTGGGATTCAAGTTCGGTGGATATTGCTGCTGCAGGTCTTGGTTGGTTTGCTGTTGGACTTAAAGGAGAGGCAGTTTTGAGTGTTTGGACGTATGATGGTATTGACGTTGTTCTTCGCAATGCATTGCTTCCTAATAGATCATACATTTTTGAAGTTGCTGGTTTTACAGTCTCTAAAATTGTCTCTAAGGCTGACCAAGCTTCAAATAAGCCACACCACCGAAGTGAGAAGAAGAGGAAACAAAGTGACCGAAAGGAATCTGTTGCTTGCTGATTCATCATATTAACAATTGAAGCTGGTAAAGGATATGTGGCAGTTCTTATCAAAACAGGTGAAAGTGTTGTAACAATTTATGGTTGATAATACTACAGGTGAGAAATGTCGAGTAAACAACATCAACCTTCTATTAGAATGACAAAGCTAGGCGTCCTATTTGAGCCACAGATGAAATGGTTGATGCTTTCTCTGACTATAAGTGGGGTGGATGTTCCCAATTGGAAGTGATCTTTCTCCAGCAACTATATCAAGAACAGCTCGAAGGCATTGTTTTCTACTGCACTTACCACTAAAGTAAAAGACGGCTTGCAAAGGGATAAACATGCCGTATTTCGAGTGAAAGCATATGAGCTAACTGTCTCATGCTCATTTGATGGGCCTATCTTAGAATTTCTTATTTATTATTCTTCTCTGTAAATTGTAAGTGTGAAAAGTTGAGTCTCAGTTTAGAGTTGTTTTGGTATGAAGTTAATGCTTTTGCACTGTTGTTGAATGGTAAATGAAGAAGCATCAATTGAAAAAGGCAAGCCACACAATGCTTAATTGTTGCAGACTTGCAGCCTCTGTTTGTGCAATTATTTCTAATTTTCTCAAAGATCAAATAGCGATGGCAAGGGAGCCAAAAATGACTAGATCAGTCTTATTCTTACTTTTGATACGCAGCCAAAAACAAAAGATATGCATATCGTTTGCTTTGCACATACAGTTTGCGTTGATGATCCAACTTTCTCCACATGACAACCATCACTCACTGTCTGTGGTGTGGTGTAGTTTGCATTTGGACCGTTTTAAAACTGAGACGTAAAAATTGCACTGAAATTGAATAGTCTTCCAAAGCGTGCTTATGTATGCAAGAGAGTCATTGTCTTCTTGTTTGATAGTTGAGGCAAGGATCATGGAACCCACCAAACCCATATCTAATATTTATTAAATGGCTCCCATTTATGACTCAGTTTGATTTTGAATCCACATGCATCTGAATGCCCTATAATGCCTGGCACCATTTGACCAGTCTATTCTCGCTTTGATGCCATAGACTCACAAATCTATGGTTACTGGTCTCAAACCTTTCATTTAAGTACTTTGGACGTTGATTTTGTTATTAAATAATGAATATGGTATCGATATATTATTGTTGACAACATATTAATAACAGAACATATGACATGTTATTTTTATATTATAGATAATATCAATACAAAATTCATCTTTCAACAAAGAACGGATATTTTGCACAAAGAAATTTTGGTCTATAAATTAAAGGTTTTCATCATTCATGGCTTTGATACATATAGTTAAGAATCTTGTAGAAAAGAACATCCAAAAGATTTTTTTCTTTTTAAAGCATGTTGTATAGTAGGTACTACTAGTACAACTACATATATCTATACTATTATAGGAGAAGTCGATTAATTTGGGCTTTGAATAAGGAAAATACTTCATTCCTTACCAAGTAAGTAGGAGTTCTTACATTCTTGTCAAGAACAGTGTGATATGTGTGCATAACGTTTTTTTCTTTTTTGAGTGTGTTTTTAATGAATCATTTTTGCATATATGTCAAATTGTGATTCGCAAAAAAGATGAATATTTCTTTATCGGTAAAGAGGCAAGTAGTATCTTGAATAATGAAATGCTTTAGATTTAGGTGATATCTGGGCTTGAACTTTAACAGTGTGATATGTGTGCATAACGTTTTTTTCTTTTTTGAGTGTGTTTTTAATGAATCATTTTTGCATATATATCAAATTGTGATATTTCTTTATCGGTAAAGAGGCAAGTAGTATCTTGAATAATGAAATGCTTTAGATTTAGGTGATATCTGGGCTTGAACTTTCTAACCAAAAATCCAAAATAAGTACATAAACGGACAAAACAATGATACAAGATGTGAAGAACACGTATATAATCCAACAAGTATTCCCTGCCACGATGTATATTATAATCCAACCTAGCTATAACTTATAAGCAAGAGAGTCTGCTACAATAATATTGACGTTGTGTGTTGTTTTAGTAGGCAGTGCATGAGGCCTTGTTCTAATAATATACTAAATTCAGAATTCAATATTAATCCAACAAGAGACAGTGAGCGAGTAATCATTTTTTAGCAGTTGGGATATTATATATCACGACTTGCAAAAAGTCAGTCGCTTGTGGGCCTACATACAAGCTTTTCTTATTGTCCATACATCTACGGTCAGAATGCTGCCAGCGCCCACTAAACATATCTAAATTCATTATAATAATATTGGCCAGTTGGGCAATCTGAAATTGACTTTGACCTTGTACTCTATTATATGATTTATGTTTGTCGTTTGTTCATTGAGCTATTGACATTATTACCCTGTGATTAATACATAATTGAACTACATTATGAATTAATACTTTCTCTTCATCTTATTTCTAATTCATTAAATTAATTAACTACTCGAAAACACACTAGAACATGTAATATTAAACTCATCACTTGTTGCCTCTTAACCAGCAAGAGACATACCCTTCTTAAAATAGGGAAAATAACCATGCAATATGTTCTGTCAGCTTGAATGCACATCGTCCTTCTTTGCAACAAATGCTTCTCCAATACACTGGTTGATTTACCATTCAATATGCATGGGACATGTGAAAATATTTTATTTTTATACCCTATGTGTATTGGAGATTATGTTCACATGTCCCATATTTATTGGCCAGTTAATGTACCCGAAACATATAAAAATTACTCCGAGCAAAAAGTTCTTAAAGCTTTGCTCCTATTGCTTCTCCGCTTCATCATCTTAAGATTCTTTCTCTTGCTGCCAATGCAACCAGAGAGTCCACCAGCATAGCGATTTTGAGTATCAAAGTGTTGCACTCTTGTTCAATTCTTATTCAGTCATTTGTTATGATATAAGTGAATATAATGCATATTCTATAAGAGTGCTGCTATTTCCACCATTTGTCCTATTTCTCCACTCCTAGGCTTGGAGTGGCCCTGGCCTCCACAAATTTTGATCTCACCTCTATTATATTATATATAACATATAAAATTTGTAATAAACAACTTATAATTTAAGTTAAAATTTCCTCTAAAACAATTTAGACATGACTAAATTAGAAATATTTAGCTCTAAACATGTAACTATTGAATATTTAGGTGCTTTATATACTTGCTATTTCTACTTCAGCCCCCTAACTTTACGATGCTAACTTCGCCCTGCAATCTTTCCACCCACCATTATTCCTAAAATACCCTTTAATGCGAGGAGCATTTTTGTTCACAACTTTAACCCAAAACTTTGTCCGCATTGCATTGATGATTATTGAACCATTTTCTTTTCAAAATTGTAATATTAAAGAACATAATTATTACGTGTCGCTGTCTTGTTTTTTTTTTCTTTCTATTTTTTGAAAAATATAAAGATAATTGGTTATATTTGGTGCGAAATTCAATTGACAGTTAGCTCTCACCTCTTGTTTCTTTCAAGATCTGCTACTTCTTCTTCTTTTTCGTCAGAGCGAGAGAGAGAGACAGAGAAAGACAGAGAGAGATTTTTTCGGAGCGGGTTAAGTAACACGGGTCGTGGGGGTCCTAATGGATGGAAAATCGGATACGGGTGGTGGTGTGAAATCGCCGCTGTTGGCGAGCGGTGGACGTAGTCGGCGACTGAGTCGAAGGAACTCATATAACTCACTCAGAAACGACTTCGTTTCCAGGCTCCCTGACAATGTTCGAGCTGGCCTCGACCCCGAGTCGCCTGAAGGCATCGACTACTCTCGAACCACAGGCTTAAACCGAGGTATCTCTCTTCCCAAAACTCTGTTTGGTAACTCAGAAAATGTAGGAAAATGTTTGTGGTTCTGTAAAAGTTTTAATGCTTGGGCAACAAGTGGTTTTTACTTTTCTTTTTTGTTCTTTTGAATACAAGATTATTATGTTTAATTTGTTTTCCTTGGTTTTCTGTGCAACCAAACAAACAGAGCACAAGTAGTTCTTGAAGTGTGTTTATTTGGTTTGTTAAGAACAATTGAATTGATCCTGTCAGTGCTTTAAATTGTAGAGGAGAAGGAATATTATGAAACCCAATTTGCAACACTTCAATCCTTTGAGGAGGTTGACTCTATAGTGCAAGCAGACTGTATCGACGAGGTCGATCTCGAGGAACAAGCACAACATGAAAGAGCAATGAAGATTTCCAACTATGCTAATGTACTTCTCTTGGGACTCAAGGTACTTAATTTGTCACTGAAATTAGTCAAATTCTAGTTGTTTTTTTTAAAGAAGGCTTTTTGGGTTTGAATGGATGCAGTTGTGAGTATCATATACGTATGGTATGTTGAGAAACATAACAGTTTAGCTGTGATTTCATGTTGGCATTTGCACTGATAAGATAATGATTTTGGAATGTGTAGATCTATGCTACTATAAAGAGTGGGTCCATAGCCATTGCTGCATCAACACTAGATTCTTTACTAGATCTCATGGCTGGTGGCATACTTTGGTTTACTCACCTGGCCATGAAAAACATCAATATCTATAAATATCCCATTGGGAAATTGAGGGTGCAGCCTGTTGGCATAATCATCTTTGCTGCTATCATGGCTACACTTGGTATGTCATTCTAACTTTAGTTTCTTGCCCATAGTATCTGTTGCGCTCTTTCTCTCTCTCTCTCTCTCTCTCACACACACACACACACTTTGTTCTTACGTAATCCTTTAGTTTCAACTTTGTTTGTTCAAGTAAATTTAAGGTGAAGGAGACCAAATTTCTGCCTTATTTCAGATTTTGGTCCAAATCAATTGGCAGTATCAAAGATCATGAGTAATGTCCAATCTAACACAGACCTGAAATATTTTGAGAATTTGATGATATGTTCCTCTTTCAAAAACATTTTAAGATAATCCTGAATTGATGTTAGTATACAACCTAAACAACATAAACAAGGATCAAGTCATTGAATTCTTATAACATCTGATTGACACTTTTCTACAAGAACTGGAGCAATAGAGGTTTATGGTTTGTATGTCTTACTTTCAGAGTGTAATGCAAAGAAACATTCCCGTCATGTGCTCAATCTCACTTTACTATGCAGGAAAATATATTAATTTTGAGGTGAATAATATGAGTCCTAGAAAATTTCTTCGTAGTTATAACAGTGTACATGATGTGTATACTCAAAAAACGAACTTTAGAGTCACACCAGAATGATAAAGGTATGCAATTAGACTTGCAGGAAACTTATGCCCTTCCTTTTTCTTGTTCTTTTTCATTTCTTCTATAATTCCCAGGGTTAACTTCCAGATATAATTAAGCCAGACTATGTTGCATACTTAAACTTCAGACCAGCTTAACTTTTATACCCTTGCAATTCCTTACAGGGTTTCAGGTGTTGATCCAGGCTGTCGAACAACTAGTTACAGATGATCCCACTGAAAAGATGTCCTCAAGTCAATTGGTGTGGCTGTATGTCATTATGATATTTGCTACTGTGGTAAAACTTGCACTCTGGTTTTATTGCAG